CCTTTGATGGTACCTTGACCTTGTATTTGGAGTTGCTTCGGCCAGAGCACTGGTATGGGAGCAGGAACCACTGGAAGGATCTAGTGTGGAGCCGGGCCCAAGGAATGATAGATATACATGAGATCATCTTGCCTAACAATTTTGATAGTTCAGCTAGGGACACCCTCTTAAGATCCCTGATCTCCTTAACTAATTGCTGAATGCTGTTTTGTCTATCTGGTGACAGGAAAATTTTGCCTTCCACTGTATCTATGACTGTTCCCAGATGGATTAACCGAGTCGATGGTGTTAAATGACTCTTTTTCCAATTTATTGAGAACCTGTGTTGTTGTAGGGATTGTAATGTGTTCTGAGTAATCTCTGACTGCTTGATGATTGGAAGATGACAAAATTAAGATGTCATCAAGGTAACACTGGAGTCGTACAGGGATATCACAGAGGTGAGCAGCTAGAGCTGCAGGAACCTTTGTGAAGGTCCTGGGGGCAGAAGCTAGTCTGAAAGGAAGGGCCACATATTCGAAATGGTGGTTATTATAACAGAATCTCAAAAATTTATAGTGGAAAGGCTGAATAGCAATATGTAGGTACGCCTCCATCAGATCTATAGACGTAAGGACGTCACCTTTTCTGATGCTGAGTAAGATAGATTGCAGGGTGTGCATTTTAAACTTGCGATATACAAAGAAACGGTTGAGACATTTCAGATCTAATATTGCTCTCCACCCCCCTGAACTTTTGGGAACAACAAAAAATGTGAATAGAAACCTCGCCCTCGTTGGTTGGTAGCTACTGGTTAGATTGCTCATATGTCCAGTAGATGTTGGATAGCTGTTTCCATGAGATTACGTTTAACCAGATCTCTGGAAAGAGGACATGACATGAAAAAATCTGGGGGAGTGGATTGAAACTCCAGCGCAAGGCCAAATCTGATCGTGTCTCTGACCCAGGAATCAGATGTTGAGGAGTCCCATTAGTCCATGAATAATTTAAGGCATCTGCCAATGGGAGCCAGGTCCAGGGAGTTATCTTGGACACTGGAAAGACCTGTTTCCTGCTCTTTGAAAGGATCTCTTGGATTGGCCACCCCTTCTGCTCCTATCCCCGAAGTCGGACCTGTCTGGCTGCTGCCCTGGTCTGAATGATGGGGGTCTCTGGTATCTGGGTGAGAAGGGTCCCTGATAAAAGGGCCGAAAGCATCCCCTCCGAAAGGACTGAGGGTTTCTAGAATCTGACTTCCGAAAAAGGGAAGGAAGAATTTTCTTTTTGTTTCGTGTTTAGATTAGCAGCAGGTCGAGGGCAGGGCCAAACAATCTGTCTCCCGCAATAGGAGATGAAGCCAGCTTGCATTTGTGCTTAATGTCTGCTTGCCAATGTTTTAACCATAGTAAGCATTGTGCTGTGACATGTGAAGTAATAGCCCTGGCTGAAAACTTGACCGCATGGTAAATTGCATCAGCTGAAAATTCAGCGGCTGCTATAAGTTTAGCAATATCTTGGTGCACTCTAATGTTGGAATTAGGACATGCTCCCATAAGAGGCAGAGCCATCTGAGAGAAGAATGGATAAAGGAGGCGGCCGTGGCTGCTCTGATGGCCCACACATCAGATGGACCCTGTGTAGGGCTAGCTCAGCTCGTTTTTCCTCCAGCTTTAATGCCTCCAGTGCTTCACTGGGAATGGAGGAAGATGCTAATCCCACTATAGGTTTGTCTACCTCGGGAGTATTCAACAATTTTGAGAAATCAGAGGCCAAATTGAAATATTTCCTGTCATATCCAGCGGGGGCCGGGTACGCCGCTGCAGATGCCCACTGTTTCTGTACCAGGTCCGAAAACATGCCTCAACTACTGGTTGATTGAAAATTAGATCTTCTGGTCCCTCTTCTGAAGGAGTTGGAGTGGTAGAAAGGGTCGACTTGTTCAGGCACGCAATGTTTTTTGCCTTAAACAAGAGTGATCTGAAAAGTTGTGGGCGGAATAAGCCTGTAAATACAGGTTGATCAGGAACAAGGCCCTCATCCTCAGACATCCCCCTTTCTAAGGGGTCCGCTTCTGACAGGGGCTCACTGTCATGTATTGATCCTGATTCAATCTGTTCCATTTGATCAATTTGATCCAGTTCTTCTTCTTCCTCCTCTTCTTCCTCCTCCGTCGGCCCTTGGAGGGGCGCTTCCCCTTGTAAATGTACCTGGGTATAGTGTTGCTCCAACCTGGTCAACGACCTCAGCGATTGGGAATCATAATCAGCGGTTACAGGATGTTCCCTGGTCAGAACTGCGTGTTGAAGACATGCTGCGATTCCCTGGAGGATTGCCAGCTCCATCAAGGCCTTCATCCTCTCTGGAACTTCCTCTGGAAGAATGTCGTCCTATCAAAGACCGGCAGCCATTGGAATGAATGTAGCTTCAGGAGCCCTTCGTGTGGTCGGTGTTCCAGGTAACTGGACCTGTTGGCTCTGGGGAGCCAAGCTGTGCCTGGATGAGGGAGAGATCTAGGGGAGGAGGATGGGAAGAGGTAGACGGACCTGGACTGGGGGGTGGAAAGTCCTGTGAGGCCCTATGCACCTCCCGTGTGCTTTTCTAATGCTTTTCTAATCTATCTGCTTTTCTAATGCTTTATGGCGCCTGTTGGCACCTTTTCTGAAGCTTTAGAATTCCCTTTAGTCTGCTTAGGTTTGTGCTGAGATTTGGCTTTGACCTTCAAGTTTGAGGTCTGAGAGCTACTACCGCCTGCCATTTCGATTGAAGGAATTACAGCATGCTTGTTATTCAATGTAATACTGGAAGGCGGTTGGCATGCCCAGGGACCTGATCTAAGAACAGACCGGTTGCCCTGATGATGTTTTATTCCCCCGCCCCTTTAAAATACCTATCTATAATGAGTTGTATCTCAGTAATATTTTATTGATATTAAAATGTTATACCGAATAGATGATGATGATGATGATGATATCACTAATATATAGCTATATATATATGGATATCAAATAAATAGCACAAAGCTAAAATTATTGAAAATCCAAACAGCCAAATTAAGAATGCCTAAAGGCCCAAGTTGATGAAAGTACAGGCCTTCAACAGCTTCCCTGCACAGGCGGACACAGGCCTAGGTGCTCGCTGTTGTGCCACTGGGTTGATTGGGCTGTGAGGGTTAAGCCAACAATTTAAATGTACAGATAGCCTTGAATGTAGTAAAAACAAGATGAGGGTGTAATGATCCCAAGTGTTCCTAAAGAGAAACCTCTGCTTGGGAAAGAAAGTACCTCACACGGCATGAAATGAAATAAAGTCAGCATGGCCACGAGGTCTTTGTCAAAAAAAAAAAAAAAGGGCCTCCAGCCATTAACCTTTTGGCGCACTCCCCAGCAGCAAACTCCCACCCTGTGGGAGTAGACTCCGAGGACTTCTCCTATAAGGCTAAACAGCGGGGAAGGGTGGAAGGAACTAAGTGTTTAAATCTTCCATCCCCAGGCAGTGTTCAGAGGGGGGAAGGAGAGCGATACGACTCTGTTGTGAGCAAAAAAGCTCACGCCGCTGTTCAGATGTAATAAACTGCCGCTATCTATCGGAATGGCAGGAGTAGAAAGAGGGTTGTGGGGAGGGGGCGCGGAGCAACGCCGAAGCTTCCTTCCGCTTCGGGGCGCGAATCAGCGCTTCCCTATAATGTGAGCAATCTCTGACTGCCTGATGTTAAAGAGCCAACGTCGAGAGATCGTAATGCGATTAGGAGGCTAGAGTCCTAAAGACAAACTGGTCAATTTTCAAACATGCTAGTAAAAACGAATTTTCCTGTTTCGGCCAAGGAAGAATCACAAGCACTGCCTATCCCTCATGAGGCTGAGCCAAAACTGGGGAACGCTGGGGAGGAGTCCTGTGGAGGAGGAGGAGCGTTCCAGAAATTCAGCCCAGCCTAGACGTGCAGAGACTGAAGCACCTCCCATTACTGGATGCTCTGAACAGCTCATGGGAGAACTTGCCAATTTTGAAGACCCTTGCTCTATGGGCTTGAAATCAGACAATAATTTCTAAGTTTAATAAAACAGGTTTAGAAAACTAGGAGTACTAGCAGACTACTAACAGAAGATATGTTCTCCCACAATACTCAATTTGTGGAAGCCACTACAAAAAGATGCATGAAGGCCATTAACTTGGGTGGCTTTAAAAGGGGAATTGGATAAATTCATGGAAGGCATATCTATCAAGTGTTAGTCTTGTAGAGTTAATGTGACCTTTATGGGTGGGGAAGCATGCCTCCAAATTACAGTATGAGCAAGCATATGGAAGTAAACACAGAAAATGTCAGAACAATACCATACAGAAGAAACTACTAAGTATAATTAAAATTGCCCTGAATTTCTTGAGCATTTATTATATTACAATCATCTCCAATCCTGAGAAATTTCAGACTTCTGGATTGCATCCTTAGATGCAAAAATATTGTTTTGAGAATGGGTATAAGCAACCTACCCACTTTGGGGTATTATAGATTTTTGCGTAAGTGCCTCTGGCATTTGTTATTCCATCTCAAGAAACTCTCTTTCAGAAATACTTATTTCATATTTTTGGTTCCACCCACAGCTAATGGAATGGGGCAGGGTACCAAAGACATACCAATGGGTGCTTCTGCAGGGGGGAAAAAACCCCTTCAGAAGGTCATGTTTGCCCCAACACATAAGGGTGTTTGTGTATGGAGGCCCTCTGTTTGGCCTTAGGCCAAGCTTGGAGAGCGCCAAAATGCATTATTTGTCTCTGTCTCTCCTGTTCAGCCGGATGCGCGCTTTAGCAATCCCAGTTCCAGGAGTCTGGAGCGAAAGCAAGTCAGTACCAAGCCTGCCAGACAAAAAGCAGCTCCCCTGGGCGAAAGAAGGCGGGCCTGGCTTTTGCAGGCCTAGCTGGCTTCTGCCTTGGCGATCGTTTCTATAGAAGGAGGAGGGAGCGATGCTGCTGCTGCTGCTGGGATGGTTATGTCAGGCGAGAAGCCGGAGAAGGCGGGCGCCGGCGGAGGGAGGAGGAGGAGGAGGAGCAGCAGCAGCGAGAGGATCGCATCAGCTTCAGCAGCAAGAAGCAATGCCGCACCGCGGAGCAGGATTCTGGTTCCAGTCCCAGAACAAACCCAGCGGAGCGGCTCTTACTCTCTTGCTGACAGGTTGGTTCCTGCCGAGCCCCCGCTTGGGCCCAGCCCTCCCCGCTTCGATGGCACAATCCTCCTTCGGCCACGGCCTCCCACACCGTTGCTGCTCATGCCCGACCCTTGCTAAGCGGAGGTCCCCTCCCTGCTCCTCTCTGCCCTGATGCCAGCCTTCTGCCGCTGCCCTCTCTGCAGCGGCACGCTGTTTTTCCTGTACGAAAAGACCCGCCCTTCCTAAAGTAGCTGCCCCGGGAGGGTTAAAAAAAATGCGGGCAAAAAAGGAGGAAGCAGTTGGGATAGTTGCCTGTAAAAGGCATTGCCTTCCCTTAGCCAGATGCCATTCCCCATCCCCCTTTCATAACAGGGCATGTTACAGAAAAATATTTTAAAAGATGTATTACTAGTGTTTTTTTTAACGACCATGAAAAAACAACAACGTCACGAGCAGATTACCCTATAGAGGAATGTTTAAGGATCAACTGATTTTGATCAACTGATGAATGTATCTTTTCTTTTATGTATACTGAGAGTATTTGCACCAAGACAAATTCCTTGTGTGTCCAACCACATTTGGCCAATAAAGAATTCTATTCTATTCTATTCGGTTGGATGATAACACATGGTGTGTTTAAAATATATGCAGAAGCTCCAATAATTTTTAAAATCTTGCATTTCAAAGAAAATATAGAGAAATTTGCTTTTAAAAAAAAACAATAACAACATGTAGGCAGGGGTATTATCCCCACCTTTTCTCCTCCATTTAGTTCTAAACTGTGTGAATTCTGATTGTGTTCTGTAAAAGCTGAAAGATAGAGGATACTTTGCTCTTTTGCAGATCAGACAAATCATTAGCAAAGCTTTCTGTCATTCCTGAGCTTGGAATAACAGGCACATTTTTCCATTCTTGGTTATGTGGATAAAAGCTGAGCAATACTAGCAAATGGAGATGAAAATATTCTGCTAACCAAAAAAGGAAAACATATGTAAATACTTGTCTCAGGAAACGAAGACATAGTACAAAATCTCCATTAAAAAAAAAAAAACCTTGGACGGGGTAAATTCAGAATAACAACAACCTCAAATATAGAATTTAGTTGTGTTTTTGTATCTCCCCACTTGGTTAATTGTTCACATTCTGATATGTGAGGGCAACTGTATTTATGATTAAATAACTGCCTTAAATGTTATGATAAGAGAGCTAAGGATACATAGTACAGGTAGTCCTTGACTTTACAACAGTTCATTTAGTCACCATTCAAAATTACAGTGGCACTGAAAAAAAGTGACTAATAACCGGTGTTCACAGTTAAAACCATTGCAGCATCCCTACGATCATGTGATCGAAATTCAGAGGCTTGGCAACTGGTTCATATTTATGATCGTTGCGCTGTCATCATGACCCATGTCCCAAGTTCATATGTTCACTTTTTGCAACCTTCTGAGAAGCAAAGTCAATGGGGAAACCAGATTCACTTAACAACCATGTTGCTAACTTAGCAACTTCAGTGATTCACTTAACAACTGTGGCAAAAAATTCTCATAAAATGGGGCAAAACTCATTTAACAAATTCTCAATTTATAAATTTTGAGCTCAATTGTGGTCGTAAGTCGAGGATTACCTTATTAACTATTAAAGTAAAAGAAAATATATAAATTGGATATATGTACCTTTGAGATTGGCCCGTTTCTTCAGGTGGTCCATGTTATTCAATTCTGGCTAAACTACAACTCTCTAGAGATGTTTTTTCTACCATAAGTAATTGATATATGAGGCATGCACTATATCTTTGAATGATGTCATTCTCAGTGGACCACAGGTCTTATTTTTTAATTGTGAAAAGCTATTAAAAAGTGAAATTACTATAGTAAATTAATACAAACTAAAAATAAAAGAATAAAATAACAAAGATTCAGAAACAAAAGAAGAAAGAAATGGAAAAAGAAAAGAAAAAAACATAGTAAAGAAAAAGAAATGAATAAACAATTTACTTTTCTCCTTAAACAAGTATAAATAATTTTAGTAACTTAACACCTCTTCTTAAAAGATGACAAATAGTCTCTCCTTAGCATATTTGTAAATAATACTTTAAAATCCTTCATTTCAGTGTTGATGTCAGCAAAAGTTCATTAAAGGTCAGTAGAGATAACAATATATCTATTTTAATCTTGATCAAATAAACTAATTTTATATTCCTTTTTACTTTTAACAATTTTGATTTTCAGTTCGCTCAAATAATGTTGTAGAATTTGATTTGTTTTCATTTTTTCTTTCTCCCTTCTCAGAGATTTTTACAAAGCTTTACACAAGCTACTTTTGTAAATTTGAATATAGGAAAACGATCCAGATTTTTTTCCTGGATTGTTACTTGTGTATCTCTTTTAATTATTAAAACAAAGGGTAATGTCTTTGTCCAGTGTAGTATCATTATCCATATCATTCTTGTAGCATGTCATTTTTAAATTCATTTTCAGATCAGTCTTGGAAGGCAAAATGTGTTCTTCTATAACATTTTACATACTGTCTATCTACTATGACAGACACTTTTAAGTCAATTTTTCAAAAATATTCTTCAATATGACCAATGTTAAAATATTTTGCTTGATGCTGTATCTATAAGTTGAATCTAATGTTCTTCTCTTTTAACTGCAATCTTTGGTTCCTTCTACTTTCCTCTAGCGTCCTACTCAAAGTCCTATTCTATCCATTTTTTTTCCTAAAAGAATTCAAAACAAAAGCATTTTCCTGTGGGGATGATAGTTATATTTAATTCCAAAATCTTATTTCAAATCTATCTGAAGCCGGAGTCCATTTGTAACTTTGCCAAAAACAAAATTCTGACTCTCCTTTTGCTATTTATTAAAAAAAGTCCTTAAAATTTTGTTTAAAATTTCTTTTACTAACTATTGAAGGAATCTCATCTGATCTTATCTCCAAAGATTTTTAAAAGCTGAAAAGCAGTTAATAAACAATTTCCAAAAGTGATAGAAAAGAAAGTATGCGAACTTTTAAAGATGACCATGGTTTGAGTAAGATGGCTCCTTTCTTGTCCCTCATAGCGCTAAATGTATTCGAGACTGGTATGTTGTGGTCTCCTTGCAAGCAGCAAGTGTCTGGAGCGCTAGTGGGCAATCTCAAATTCTTTCTTCGTCCAGAGAAGAATTACAAAGAGCCACTCAGCTGGCGGTTTGTCTTGCCAAATAGACCACATAGGAAACACAACCAGATAAGTTAATTCTATGTTATTGTAAAGGTACATTAACAGAATCTTGCAAGTATGAAAGTACAATTGTCCCTCTCCCCCCTTTACAGCCTGAGAAGCTATTGAGAGTCCCTTTTATGGCACTTGCTCTGCCCACTATCCAATGGTAGCTATTCTGTCCTTATGTGACTGTGCCCTAGGCAGCATCTCTTCGCCCCATCTCACATAATATTATACCAGGTCTTTATTCTAGTTGTCCCATGCACTGATGATCTGAAAGGAGTTCATAAAACCATTAAATATCCCTTTGCTAGATTTACAAGATTGTTTGATGAGAACTTTATGTATTACCTCTATTTTTCAACAAGCTTTCAGTTTTTAAATCTTGTATGAATATACATAAAATAGGAAGATCAGTTCCTGCAAAACTGAGGAGAAATAGCTTTGAACTTTTGGTACTAAAATCCACAAACTCTTAAAGAAAACTAACCAAATACTTTAATAATTATTCCTTATTCTGTAATTACAAATCACAACAAAGATGAAAAGACTGAGTTATTGAAGTTTATGAATGAGAGCGTTAACAATTTTAAAAAACTGGGTAAAAGAAGGTATGTATATAAGTCATTTTATTAAAAATAGAACTTAGAATTTGGAAAGCAAATTTTTATATTTTCTTATTGAAGTATATACAGGTATTTTAACATGAGTATATGATCCTAGATAAATAAATGAAGTAAAATAAATGAAGTAAATTACAGAGATTTAAAGTTGTAGTATAGTGATATAAACTTTTTTCCTTTATCTCATTCAGCAATGATGTTTGCTTAACATTTCATATTTTTGCAAGATTCTGACACTCATTTGGTTGCATGCAAATGGATATTTGGCTGTAAATATCTCTATCCCCAGGCCTTTGCATTTGAATAGTATGCACCAGAGGTGGTATTCAGCAGGTTCTGACCAGTTCTGGACAACCGGTAGCAGAAATTTTGAGTAGTTCGGAGAACCAGCAAATACCACCTCTGACTGGAGATTTTACAGTATCCTTCCCCTGCCATGCCCACCAAGCCATGCCCACAGAACCGGTAGTGAAATAATTTGAATCACACCACTGATATGCACAAAGAATTGCAAACAATTTTTAAACAATCATGCTCATTCATCAGAACGTTCATTTTTTACAACACCCTTTTATATGATCATAGGAGATTGGAAATACCTTGTGCTCTTGGTCATAAGCTAAAACTAATTTCAGGCCTGGCCTTAAAATCAGGGTTGATTGTATTTAATAACACTTTTATAAGCAGGGTGTGCAAATATTAGCCAATAAGTTCAAATGGAAGGGATATCCTAAGTTAGGTACCTGTAATTCTGGTAATGTTTCCAATCTTTTTTAGGACTCATTCAAATTTTAGAAAGTTTTGTGAACATTATTACAGTCACAGAATAGCTGCTTATTTTAGGATTGGTAAATCATAAATTTTATTGCATAAACACTCAAAAGGATTTCACAAAATACATTCCCTTTTAGAAACCTCTCTCATCTTTCTCTCCTATCTCACATTTTCCTTCCACAAAGTCATATTCTTTCCCCATATAATGCCTAAATGGTTTTTTCTTTGCTTGTTTTACACATGCATATTGCATACATACACATCCATGGATCCTTTTAGTCAGGGGCACAAAATATATACTTCATGAATTCTTCTACAAAAATACATATTTTTGCATAACTTCTGTAATCACAATGTAGCTGAGTGATTAGTATGGGAATGTAGTGGCATATTATCAAAGAAATCAACATACAAGAAAAAT